CAAAAAAAAAAAAAAAACACCTTTATCCCTCTATAAATTGACATCCACTTGCCCGGAAACTCATGTCAATTTCTAGAAATTAAGAAAATGAACACCCTGTTGCTACTAGTTTCACTTTCAATTATCCCTTTAGCCCTGTGTGTACCCAATCCCTCAAGGTTGTTAGCAGGTTCATCGCCATCTCCAGTTCTGGACATCAATGGAGACAAAGTACAAGTGGGTCTCAACTATTTCGTGCTGCCGGTGATCCGAGGTAGAGGAGGCGGACTTTACCCTTCCAACGTTAAACAAAATAATACTTGTCCTAGAGACATTATTCAAGAAGTCGATGAAGTACAACAAGGCTTGCCTGTGGTTTTCACACCTTTTGATGCCAAAAAAGGTGTTGTTCGTCTTTCAACTGATCTTAATGTCAGGTTTTTTACTCCAACTATTTGTGCTAGAGAGACTATCTGGAAACTTGGGACCTATGATGACAAGTTGAAGCAATACTTCATGGTAACTGGTGGAGTTGAAGGGAACCCAGGGCCTCAAACATTGAGCAGTTGGTTCAAGATTGAGAAACTTGGGACGGATTATAAGTTTGTGTTCTGTCCAAGTGTGTGCAAGATTTGCAAGGTTATTTGCAAAGATGTCGGTATATACAGTACTAAGGATGGAGTCAGGTTTATGGCTCTCAGTGACACTCCATTTAGGGTTATGTTCAAGAAGACTTTCTAATCCTGCTTTTATTACTCCACTTTCCAATAATTAATGTTCTACTTCTCTAATGCAATCTTGCTTGTGTTCGTTAATTTGAACATGGTAATGCGACTTCTATCTGTGTTTGATTTTTCTAGTGTTTCCTTATTTTTAATTCTCCCATTGAACTGTTGTTTATCTTCCCACCCTTTATTTATACGTATAGTCGTGTATCATTCTCCATTTAGGTGAGGTATCGACAATTCCACGTTAGCCTATAGTGTGGTGCTGACGACTGTCTTCACCATACATATCCTCTTTCCTTTTCCTTTGTTTTACATTTTTACTGCATTATTGGGTCTCCACTAGGTCTTAAAAAGTGTGCACAAATAGTTCCTTTTCAATTATTATCCTGCCATAGTTCCTTTATTCAATTGTTGCCCTGCCACTGTTTATGTATATAGCCTTCTCCGGTTTCAGGAAAGCTTTTTCATATCTTACAAAGATGTGTAAACCAAATTTTAAAATTATCGTTGGTGATTATCTTGGACATTTTTATGTGTGAAGGTTGGACAATAATGCTCAATATTGTCATGCATATCCAATCCACTAGCAGAGGGCCGTACGCAGAATTATAGATAGGTGATATCCGCATTTTTAAGTAAACTAATAAAAAATTACTATAGTAAGATAATATTAATAAAATACACATCAATTACATTAATAAATTACACCCATATCAATTCATTCTAATACTGTTACGGTGCACAACTTATTCCAATATCAACTCATCAAAATGAACAACTCTAACACAACCAATAACTTAATCCCAACACAAAAGGTACCAAAAACTCATTAACACAAGAATAGCTAAAAGACTCACACAATTGGACATAATGCAATAAAGTGAAACAAGCAAGGACAATAAAGGCAAGTAAAGACATGAAATAGTGAAAATATCCAACCAGTACAGGTGAAAACATATAGCAGCTAAGCAAATAGATCAAGGAATAAGTAACAAGAACAAGTAATACTTGAATGACAAATAACAAATAAGGTATAATTAACAGTTAATGACATTTAGCAATCAAGGCAAATAACGAGACATCACATGGCATAACCAATGTCGTGAAGGTAAATAACCCTTCCCGCATGCTTTAACCCATGAAAACACATATACACTCGTCACCTCGCATATACACCATTCTCACATATAATTCTCGTAGAAAATAGACTAACAAGTCCTAATTCTCTCAAATCAAAGTTAAACATGACACTTACCTCTTTCCGCAATCAAATTAACAAACCACGACTTTTCCTTTAAAACAACTCTCCAAACCAACCGAATCTAGCCAAATATCATTCAAATAATCCAAAATAAGTTTTAGAATCTACCCACGAAAGAAAAATGTTCAATCTTTAGCAAAATTTAAAAAGTCAACAAAAGTCAACCCCTAGCCTGTTGATCAAAACCTAAGATTCGGGCCAAAATTCGATTACACATTCACCTCTAAGCCCCGTTATGTAATTTGTTTTGAAATCCGACCTCAATTTGAAGTCTAAATCTTTATTTTACAAAATTCTTAAATTTTACCCAAAACCCCTATTTCTACCATGTAATTTTTAGATTTGATGTTAAAACCTGATGAAAAGTAATTGAAATTGATTAAAAACTAATTAAAGATGCTTACAAATAAATTTGGGAAGAAAACATTCTTCAAAAATCGCCTCTAGAGAGCTTATGGTTGAAAAATGGTGTAAAATAAGCTATGTCCTAATTTTCCCCTCTTTTACCGAACTGCAGATGTCGCATTTGTGAACAATAGTTCGTAGATGTCGCATTTGCGAACACTAACTCGCAAATGTGATGTCCGCAAATGCGATCAGTGCATCAGGCCCAGTAAAGTCGCAAATGCTAGGGGCCCTTTTTAGCAAATGCGCACCAATGCTTCGCAAGTGCGAAGCTGAGTCTCAGGACACTTCATTGCAAATGCGACTCTTGCACCAGCAAAGTGTTGCACCAGCAGTTCCCAATTCTCCAATACTTACCCGAAACTTAACTAAGCCCCTCGATCTCCAAAGCAAACATGCACACAAGTGTAATAACATCCTACAAATTTATTGGCTACCTCGAATCATCAAAAAAAACATCAAATAACAAAAATCAATCATCAAAACTCAAGAATTTCAACTTTAAAACTCATTTTCATAATTTCTCACATAACGTGTCGAAATACACTCGGGTCACCCTAGACCCCAACCGAACATGCGTACAAGTTCAAAAATATCATACGAACCTACTGAAATCATCAAAATACCAATCTTGGATCGTTCATAAAAAGTATTGACTATGGTCAACTCTAGCCTCATTTTAAGTCAAAAATTACTTTTTCTTCAAAATTTTACATAAAAACTTTGGAAAAAATAACACGGACCGTGCACACAAATAAATAAACATCAAATGAAGCTATGAGAGGTCTCAAAATACGAAAATAAAGGCTAGTACTCAAAATGAGCTATCGGGTCATTACATTCTCCACCTCTAAAAGAGACGCTCGTCGTCAAACGAACATAGAAAAGTACCTAGACTGATAAAAAGGTGGGGGTATTTACTCCGCATATCGGATTCGGACTCTCACGTAGCCTCCTCAATCGACTGACCTCTCTATTGCACTTTAACAGAAGGAAACTCTTAGATCTCAACTTACGAACTTGTCGGTCTAGAATAGCCACCAGCTCTTCCTCATAGGTCAAATTTTTATCAAGTTGCACCGTGTTGAAGTCCAAAACATGTGATCTATCCTCATGGTACTTCCGAAGCATGGAAATATGAAATACCGGATGTACCCCTGCTAGGATAAGAGGCAATGCAAGCATGTAAGCAACCTCCCCAACTTTTTCCAAGATTGCAAATGGGCCATTAAACCTCGGGCTCAACTTCCCCTTCGTCCTAAATTGCATCATGCCTTTCATAGGCGTCACTCAGAGAAGAACCTTCTCACCCACCATAAAAGCCACATCTCGAACCTTCCGGTCTGCATAACTCTTCTGTAGTTGTACAAAGTTGCTCCTAAATCACATTAACTTTTTCCGTAGCATCACGGACCAAATCAGTGCCCAACAATCTATCTTGTCCGAGCTCAAACCAACTATTCAGTGAACGACATCTCCTCCCATAAAAAGCCTCGTATGGAGCCATCTAAATACTCGACTGATAACTCTTGATGTAGACAAACTCTGTGAGCGTAGAAACTGATCTCATGAACCTTCGAAATCAATAACACCGACACATAACATGTCCTCCAAGATCTGAATATTGCGCTTGGGTAGCCCGTCCGTTTGAGGATGAAATGCGGTATTTAGCTCGATCCACGTTCCAACTCCCACTACACAGCTCTCCAAAATGTGATATGAACTACGTGACTCAGTCAGAAATTATGGAAATGGGCACATTGTGCAAGTGGATAATCTCCTAGATGTAAATATAAGCCAACGGGTGTGAAGAATAGAAAGTCATCACTGAAATGGAGTGCGGAATTAGTCAACCTATCATAATAACCCAGACTATGTCATACTCCCTTCGTTCCAATTTGTGTGAACCTGTTTGACTGAGCACGGAGTTTAAGAAAAAAATAAAGAATTTTGGAATTTGTGATCCTAAACAAGTTAAAAAAGGGCCTAGAGTATTTGTGTAGTTATTAAAGCTTCTCATTAAGGGTAGAATTGTAAGTTTAAGCTCAATTGTTACCAAATTTAGAAAAGGGGTCATTCTTTTTGGAACAGACCAAAAAGGAAATAGGTTCATATAAACTGGAACAGAGGGAGTATATCCTCAAGGGACGTGGTAAGCCTACCATAAAATCCATAATGATGCACTCCCACCTTCACTCGGGTATCTCCAATCTCTGAGTCAACCCACTCGGTTTCTGATGCTCGTACTTCACCTGTTGACCATTCAAACACCGAGATACATAAGTAACAATATTTTTCTTCATTCTCTGCCACCAATAGTGACATTTCAAGTCACGGTATATATTCGTGACACATGCGTGAATAGAATAACGCAAAATGTGAGCCTCCTCAAGGATCAACTCTCTCAACCCATCAATATTTGGAACACAAATACGGCCCTGAAGCTGCATAACACCACCATCCCCAATCAGAACCTCCTTAGCACCACCCCGCTACACCGTGTCCCTCAACACCAACAAGTGAGGATCATCAAACTGGCAAGCCTTGACATGCTCCAACAACAAGGACTATGCCACAATACAAGTAAAAACTCGGCTAGGCTCCGAAACATCCAATCTCACAAATCGATTGGCCAAGGCTTGAACATCCATAGCTAGCAGCCTTTCCACTATCGATAAGTATGCCAAACTAGCCATGCTCTCAGCCTTCTCACTCATTGTATCAGCCACTACATTGGCCTTTCCCGAATGATATAATATGGTAATATCATAGTCTTTAAACAACTCTAACCATCTCTGTTGCCGCAAATTAAGGTCCTTCTACTTGAACAGGTGCTAGAGACTCTGATGGTCGGTATAGACCTTGCAGATGTTGCTCATTCTACTCTCAACTTCTAGAGTAAACCGAAATATCATCAATGAAGATGATCGCAAAAGAATCCAAATAGGGCTTGAACAACTGGTTCATCAAATCCATAAAGGTTGTTGGGGCATTAGTCAAGCCATATGACATCACTAAGAACTCGTAGTGACCATACTGAGTTCGAATGGCGATCTTAGGGACATTCGATTCCCTAATATGCACCTGATGGTAGCCAGATCTCAAGTCAATCTTGGAAAACTCCTTGGCACCCTGAAGCTGGTCAAATAAGTCATCAATCCTCGAAAATGAATACTTGTTTTTAATAGTGACCTTGTTCAACTATCGATATCTATACACATCCTCACGATCCATCCTTCTTCCTCACAAACAACACTGGTGCACTCTAAGGCGAGACACTCCGTCTAATAAATCCCTTGTCAAGCAAATTTTACAACTGCTCCTTCAATTCTTTCAACTCAACTGGGGCCATACGGTATGGTGGAATAGAAATGGGATGAGTGCCCAGAACCAAGTTAATGCAGAAGTTAATATCTTTGTCGAGTGGCATCCCCAGCAAATCTGTAGGGAACATCTTTGGG